ACTAATTTTTTTTAAAGGAAGAGGACACCTGGCTGCCAGCTGCTTGTCATTTTACCCACTAGGTGCCACTCCCCTCTCCATGGACCCAGGGAAGCCTCCTGGCTTCTCTTTCCACAGCTTCAGCCCATCACAGAATTCAAACCACAGCCTGGAGAGGAGAGTCTGGAAGAGATTGGCAGTGGCACACTCTGCATGTTTACTTTGTCCATCTGTCCGTTCCACATTCCTCTCTGGAGGGTTGAGATGCCAACTCCAGCCACCCCCTCGGGGCTACAAGAAACACTTGCATTGTTCTCTTGTTAAGCCCACTTGCGGGTAGAGAAAATGCCACCCAGATGGGCACAGCTGGTGTGGAATAAAGACACCCAAGAGAGAAAAAACTAAGAAGTACTCCTTTGCTACAACAAGTGGGCACCATCTTTCCAAAAGTGGGAGAAAAGATCTTTGCTCCTGTTGGCTTGTGTGTTATTTAGAGCCTTTCCTAGGCTGCATCCACAATGCAGAAATAATCTGCAAGATTACTGATTGCCTGGGATTGGAAATCTAAAAACTGCCCAGATATTGAAGATTGGCTTATTAAAGTTCAAGAGATGATGGAATTGGATAGACTAACAAATTTAATAAATAATAAGTCTCCAGATATGATAGAAAAGGAATGGCAGCTAATTACACGATATTTATATAAGTGAGGAAAAACAACAGATAGACTAAGATGCGTAAGTGTACTATATAAAAGCAATGACAGCATGATTATATATTTGATTGTTAACAAAAAAAGAGACAGTTAAGCATTGTAAGACAAGGAGTAAGTTTAAAAGAACTATATTTGGGAATTGATTATAAATCATTAATTGTAATTATAATCTTGAAATATATGTTGGTTTATAGTAGTGTTTAAACTTGAAACCAAGATAACGGCCAAACATGCAATATATCTATATCTATCTATCTATCTATCTATCTATCTATCTATCTATCTATCTATCTATCTATCTATCTAAATGAGATGATTTATATATGAGGATAAATAGCTACAAAATGACCTTAGATTAGGAAGTCAATTGATGAAAGAGGAATCCATGAGTCAAAGTAAATATAATAAAAAAGGATGCAATACAATGGTACAAAGTAATGGGATAAAACATTATTTTATATATAAAATGTTAATTGTATTTTATTTGTATTCAATAAATATAATATTCAAATAATCATCATCATCATCATCATCCAGTTTGAGACAACTTTAACTGCCATGGCTCCATGCTATGGAGCCATAGGGAGTTATAGTAGTTTCAAACCAGATTATTTCTGCAGTGTGGATGGAGCAGTAAAGAAAATGAAATACTGGAATGTGAAAGAGAAACTCAGTTACTTGTTACAATCAACTAATCAATATGTGACCCAAAGGGTAGCTGTGTTTGCGGCAAAGGCTACCAGGTGTAAAGTTATTGGAGAGCATTTTAACTGACATAGAAACCTGAGGATAGGAGTGTCTAAAATGTTTTTTGTTATAACACCAATGGTTAACAAGTTATTCCAATGCTTTTATATGTTATTTACACATTGTTATTATTTTTGTTAATATAATATGATTTGTTTTATAAGGCAAGACACGTATCTTAAGCTTAGGTATATATTTTATTTAGTTAGTTCATTTTAATGTTGATGCTGTAATTGTAATTGTATGAAAGCTTGGATGTTTTGTTTGCAATGGTCTTTGGACTAAGCAATAAACTAAACTACTATTGGTTGTGAGTGTTGTGTGCCTTCAAGTCGTTTCTGATTTATGGCGACCCAAAGGCAAATCAATCATGGGGGTTTTCTTGGCAAGATTTGTTCAGAGGGGATTTTTTATTGCCATCCTCTGAGGCTGAGAGATTGTGACTTGCCTAGGGGCACCTCCTTACCTGTGAGTAAGATCTTTGCTCCTGTTGGTTTGCGTGTATTGTGTGCCTTCAAGTTGTTTCCGACTTATGGCAACCATAAAACAAATCGATCATGGGGTTTCCTTGGCAAGATTTGTTCAGAGGAGGCTTGCCATCACCTTCCCCTGAGGCTGAGAGATTGTGACCTGCTCAAGGTCACTCATTGGGTTTCATGGCCGAGCAGGGAATCGAACCCTGGTTTCCAGAGTCCTAGTCCAACACTCGAACCATTACGCCACACTGGCTCTCTTAGCATTGCTTAAACCTGTTGGTTTAAGTGAATTCAAATTCAACAGCCCATGAATAGCTCACCCTTGGGGTCAAATTAAAAGTTTATCTAAACTCTGATCAGATTGGCTCCCATCAGATTGGACTGCAGCCAATTGCAGGTATTTTTTTTTTTTACTAAAAGAAACAGCGGCTCTTCCCTATTGAAAGGGAAGCCTCATTCTAGCTCAATTCTCTAATTTGGGTTTGAGAAGGAACAAGCGGGGAATTTGCAACAAAATGTTCCTAAAACCAAGGGTGCCCTTATCCAGGGCTCCCATTCATTGAAAAAAGACATTTCCCCTAAGTTCTGGGATCTTGTAGCACCTTTGAGGCTGCCTCTGCACTGCAGATATAATGCAGTTTGACACCGCTTTAACTGCCATGGCTCAATGCTGTGCAATGAAAGGATTTGTAGTTCTGCGAGATATTTGGCCATCTCTGTCAAAGACCTCTGGTGCCACAATAAACTACAAAGCCCAGGATTCCACAGCATTGAGCCATGGCAGTTAAAGTGGTGTCAACTTGCATTATTTCCGTAGTGTAGAAGCAGCCTGAGACTGACTATGGTTGCATCCCCACTGCAGAATTAATGTAGTTTGACACCACTTTATCTGCCGTGGCTCAATGCTATGGAATTCTAGAATTTATAGTTTTGTGAGAAATTTAGTTTTGTGAACTGTTTAACCTTCTCTGTCAGAAAGCTCCGGTGCCACAACAAACTACAATTCCCAGATTTCATACCATTGAGCCCTGGCAGTTAAAGTAGTGTCAAATTGCATTATTTCTGCAGTGTGGATGGAGCCCAAGATATCAAAAGAATGCACTGTACTTCCAAACAAAAATGACAGACACACGTGACGTATAAGAATGATACTCTTTTATTTAATAAACGGAATATTATAAAGCCTGTATGAACAAATATACAACAAAAATACAATATACATTTTCTTCTTCATAGATAAATAAACCTTTATTTGGATTTATCCTCTCAGTTTGCACAGTAATTTAAAAAAAAGTTTTAAATTTTGTAAGCAGCTGAGAAATTACACTTGCAAAAGAGCATCTGTTTTATGTGTGTGAAAGAGAGAAATAAGTGGGGAACTAATAAAAAGAGAAAGGAGGGAAGAAAAAAGAAAGAACATCACTACCCCCTGCTGGTGTTCATGTGACATAATCATGGCTTAGTTGCACAAAGGTATGCTGATATTTTTATTTTATTTTATTTTATTTTATTTTATTTTTGAGAGCCAACATGGTGCAGTGGTTTGGTGCTGGACTAGGATGCCAGGAGACCAGGGTCTGAATCCCTACTCTGCCATGCAAACCCATGGGATGACCTCACATGTCACACTCTCTCAACCTCAGACAAAGTCAATGGCAATCCCCTTCCAAACAAATCTTGCTGAGAAAACCTCCATAAGTCTCCACAAGTTGGAAATGATTGGAAGGCACATAATAAAAATTATGGTTTTCAAAAGTTACACATTACGTGTCACACTTTTTAAAAAAATAAACAACAAATTTGTCCAAAGTGGTAAATATAAATTACATTCTGGGTAGTAATACTACTACCTACTGAAAGAGGATTATTAGTAATAATAGTATATTACTAATAGTACAGTAATATAAATAGTATACAATCTGAGCGGGGTGGGGTGGGGGTGGATTTGCAAAATCTTAATGATTTTTCATTGAAATGCTTCCACACTCCTATTGACATCGCCCACATTGACAATCCAGATACCAGAGGAAGTTATTCAGACTCATTTATTTGCTGCTTCTTATTCAAGTCTGTAATATTAGGTAAGTTCACTAGAGCTGCATCCGCACTGCAGAAATAATCCAGCCTGACACCGCTTTAACTGCCATAGCTTAATGCTATAGAATTCTAGTTTGTTGTGGCACCAGAGGTCTCTGAAAACGAAGGCTAACTATTTCACAAAACTACAAATCCAAGGACCATAGCAGTTAAGGTGGTGTCAAACTGGATTATTTCTACAGTGTGGATGCAGCCTTGAAGGAAGTTTTATAAGGCAGGAAAAATACACAAGAGTATATGAGGAATTAAAGTGCTAATACAATTAAAAGTGCAGCCTAAGAACGTACATGCAAGTCTCCAAATACTCTTCTGTTCCCAGACAGATACTTTGACAGCAGTTCCTCCCAGGTTCTAAGAATTCAGTGTAAATTTTTCCCATTTCCTAAGGAGGGAGATGTTATGCTCTAGTCAAGAACTTTTTTCATTTACAAGGGAATAAAGGATCGGTACCTAAATTTCAGTCAAAAAGCTCAGCCTCCTAAAATTTGGATACAGCTGTAGAAAATTTTAGACAAATCCACTTAGTAGAATCATACCACTGACTGGTCAGCGAGACAGGACAACTTTAGAACTTGGAACGCAGACTGGCCAACTGGTTTTGGAAGGCTAGAAGTATTAAAAAGAAGAAGACGACCAAAATAAAGTACTTCATTTAAATGTTGAGAAGCTCAGAACATCTGTAATCACCCTCCATGTGAAAGTCATCCTACTAGATACTTGAGAAAGGCAGTTCCAGATGGTCACAGGAATTGAATTAACAACGGGTGCCAACTGAGACCAACCCCTTGGATGCTGCAGTTTTTATCCACTCTATCACTATTTAGATATGACCTTTTGTGGATCTGGAGCTGAGCAACTGATCCATGGTATGAGTCTTACTGAGAAATGCTATGAATCTTAAGCCCTATTTATATGCATGTAGAACAGATGCACATTGGAGGACCAGGCTCACTCTCTCTGGAACGTTTAACCCCTCCCTAACTTCTGACATTTTATGACCAATATGCAATGTGCAGTTAGACTTTGCAAAAAGTACCTTTTGTTTTGGCCTACAACTCCAGAATTCTGAGGGATCCTGTGAGTTACAGTCCAAAAATAAGTTTTAACTCTTACCCAGGCTAGCTGCCAACCCATTGAGCATGACCCTAAAGGAAACTCATGCATGATTTGATTATATGTCTCTGGCAGGAGTCCCACTGTTTTTTATTGTTGTATATGTAAAGCTCCAAGTAAATTGAAGAAAATATATCCAGGGGTAGGCATGTTGGTCATATAGCAAAGTACAAAATTTGAAATCCACAAAACAATGATACTTTTATTGGGCCAACCATAATGCACAATAGACATGTTGCAAGCTTTCAAAGTTCCACAGGCTTCTTTATCAGGCAAAAGGAGAATGAAAAAGTGACAATATTAGCCATAGGCCTACATTTTCTCAAGATGTTGTGATAGTTGTCCTCAGTTCAGATGGTACAGAAGGGTATTCATGCAGGCAAGAAGAAGGGCCTCATTTTGTCATCCTCACTTTTCTTCTCCAGTATGATTTTTAACACCTTTGCCTGAAGAAGCCACTGGAGCTTTGAAACCTTGCAACATGTATATTGTGCATTTTGGTTGTCCCCATAAAGGTATCACAGTTTAGTGGACTTTGGATATTATTGTACTTTGCTATATGGCCAACACAGCTACCCTGGATATGTTTTTATCAATTTACATAGTGCTTGGGTTTCCCCATGCATGGTTTTCTTTAACAGATGGTTTCCTTTACAGATTGTGGATTTTGAATGTTAATGTAAATTGATAGTGCTTTATACATTATTATTATTAAAATTTATTTATAGAGTGCTATAAAATTTGCACAGCACTTTACATAGTATAAATAATATAATAAATATAAATACATCATAATAATAATTTGTAGATGCTGATTTTCAACCATGCATGTCTAATGTATGGATATCTGCAGTGCTGGCTTCCACATCTGGAGGGAGTGAATCTGCTCTGGGTTGTAGTCCAAATTTATAGAGAACAGCCCCCTGGATAGCTTCTTTAAAGTCTGGAATGAAGCTCTGAGCAGATTCATTGCTCCAGCGATGTAGAGGACACTGGCCAACATTGGGTATCCAAAGTGGGATAAGATCTGGCATATGATGTTGCACTGCGGCTACCAGCATAGCCCTGTAGTACTTCCTACTTAAGGGTACAGGTGCCCAACAGACTTTTGACACATGGCTGTAGTGTGACTCAAATATGGAGAATAGTGCAATTCCTTTGGCCAAGAGTTAGCTGACAAACTGCTAAATAAAATAGACTGAACCCAATCCAGCCCTCTTCTGCACCCTCAAGCTTCACCTCACTGGCAGCAGCTACATCTCCCATCATCGGGTTCAGCCTTTGCCTTTGTACAGTACTGGTGTTTCATATTCCCTCCACCATTTTTCCTGCCTTCAGCCATTATAGAAGCTTGCCCACACTTCCAGGCCCCCTCAGTTTTTCCGGAAAAGGGAGAAGAAACCCGTGCCATTGGGAGTGCTGGGGCCACGTCGAAATAAAGGAAGATTCTTGCCTTGTGTTGGGGTCTTAGGAGGTGGCCTGGCAGGATGGTCCTTTTGTTCCTGATGCTTCTGGAGCAGCTGTTGGTGGATGATGTACTGAATATCGTCCTGCGTGCAAGAAGAAAGGAAAAATAAATAACATATTCTTTTACAGGAAATGGAATCCAATACTTCTAGGAGACTCTCCCTCTTCATTGTCTGCAGAGCCAAATCAAAAGTTCTGTGCAGAACATGTTTGGTTTGTTTGAAATGAAAGTTGGGAGGGTGGGTTGTTGAAAGGTTTCACCAGTGCCATTGCACCTGTTTTGTGATCCGGGGAGTAGCAACAACCATGTTCCTTTGGATTCTGGATATAACAGAGTTATTTCCTTTTAACCTACACAGTTCCAGAGTAAACAACAAAAATTGCCCTCACTCTGAGTTGACTTCATTGGTGCTTATATGGTAGCATCATCAATAAAGCTGTATCAGAGTGAGGGTTATGCTTTCTGCTCTTATTTGGGGTAAGAAAAAAATGATTAGGACCACAAATATCAATGCTAAAACAATGCCACACATTCATGTTTGCAACCCCATGTTACCAAAACGCCCCTTCAATGTCACATAGTTTGGGCAATGTGGTGAAATGGGGAGGGGTATTTTTTCTTAAGCACTCATTTTTCTTTGCCGTAGTGCTGATTATTTAGATCAACCATTTTCCATTCTCCTTTTCTTCTGCCACCTCCAATTGTTTATTTCCTAATTTTTGTGTTTCACATCCATTCCTTGTACCCTTCTCTCTTTAGTAATTTGTCCTGTAACTTGTTCGGTCAGGATTTACTTGGGTGTTTTTGCAGGATCCCATGCATTTCACCAAAATCAGTGACCACCTCCCTCTTGTAGCACCCTAAAAATCTGCTCCAGTGGACTGGGAAACCCTCTGGAACTGAGTTTGGATGCTTTAGAGGCAAAGGTAAGAAAAGTTCTTTTTGATGTACTACAACTCCCAAAATTCTCCAGCCAACTGGGGAGTTGTAGTCCCCCTCTCCAAAAGCAACTTTTCCAAGTTTTGCTCAGAGGGCTACGGGGGGGAAAGAACATCTTCTGGCATTGGAGACCAAAGTATATCATTGGATCTTGGCCCTTGATTTTCAGCCCTTGACTTTGTGATCCTGTTTTTAGTTTTTCTTTCAGCTGCCATGCCTCCTCCTCTTCTTATCCTATCATGGTTCCCTCTCCATTTTAGTTCCCTCTTCAGAACTGGAATGAATCTCCGAAATGGCCTTGGAACAAATTGTGAATGCAGGGATAGGATCAAAATTTCTCACGCTCATTTCAGCTGTGTCACAGCCTGAAGCTGGAATTTATTAACCAAGACTGTGAGCCAAAGCTGCATTTTCCTGGGCCATTTGGGATTTCAGAAAACTACATTGGTAGAGTTTTTTGGAGCATAGTTTGGTCCGCCGCCCTTGCAGGATTCAAAACTGGAAGGGCAGCTAGTAAGTTTAACAGTTCGGGGTAAAATCTCAGAAAATGTTTTCTGATGTTTTCTTACTTGCCAAGCCTCCAGCTCTTGGGAAAGTGCCATTTTTTGGCGTATGACACGCAGCAACTGCTGGCTCAAGGAATCCCGTTCGAGAGAGACTTTTGCCATTTCCAGCTCAATCTCGCCTTTCCTAGTAGGAAAAGGAAATGCAAAGAAAAGTAAGCAATACACAAACACACTTTTTAAGTCAAACCCATTACAACAGGGCTGAGGATCTGTCTTGTTTTATAACTAGAACAAAAGACCCACCAACCAAATACAGATACTAGTAGAGCCACAGACTTAAAATTAAAGTACTCTGAGCTGAATAATTGGTTTTAAGTACCAGGAACAAATGGAATCCATAGTACTTCCAAACACAAATATTTTCTTGGTTACACCCATGGGAAATAACGTCTGTTACCTTACATGCCCTCCAACATTTCACAGATGAAAATTGGGACACTCACAGGGCAGTCAAGATGGTAGAAGATATTGATGTGGAAGCACAAGTAAGCTAGGAGAGTCTGCAGCAGTTTGCTTTTGTTTGAACCTACTGGGAAGGGCAATATTCCACCGCTGAAATCTTTACCACCCTGCTGAATTAACTGAGTGCAAACTACTTTGGCATTTTGAACTCAGCTTGCAACTACTTAAGTAAGCTGAAGACAAAGGAGGAAAGAGAAACTGGCACAGTTTAAAAGCTGCTGAAAAAATAAGATGACTCACATTGATTGGGACTGTTCCTGCCAAACTGGAACAGCTGGCAGCCATGACCTTACTTATTTGAGAAGAATAATTCTGTTGCTATTGTTGTTTAAAAAATTGAAAATCTTGGCAGACATCCTACAAATTATTTACTGGACCAATTTTCAAAGAGGGAACTGTGTACATCTATCCCAGCATATGTGAAAATATGTATTAGATTTGAACAGGCTGCGTATCTTAACTTTGTTATGCAAATTATTCAGAGATCTATCAACAGATCTTGATCTTCCATCTGCCCATCTCTGCATTGTTGTTGTTGTGTGCCTCCAAGTTGTTTCCAACTTATGGTGGACCATATCGCAGGGTTTTCTTGGCAAATTTGTTCAGAAGAGGTATGCCGTCATTCTCTGAGGCTGAGGGAGTGTGACTTGCCCAAGATCACCCAGTGGGTTTCCATAGCCAAGTGTGGATTCGAACCCTGGTCACTAGAGTCATAGTCTAATGCTCAAACCACTACACCATGTTGACTCTCTAACCTCTGCATTACATTTACAGAGAGAGTCAGTGTGGCACAGTGGTTTGAGTGTTGGACTGTGACTCTGGAGACCAGTGTTCCAATCCTGGCTCGGCCATAAAATCCATTGGGTGACTTTGAACAAGTCACATTCTCTCAGCCTCAAGGGGTGGCAATGGCAAACCACCTGTGAAGAAACTTGCCAAGAAAAGCCCATGGTAGGGTCGCCATAAGTCAGAAACAACTTGAAGGCACCCAACAACATTATTGACATATCCAGGGGTAGTCAAGTTGGCCATATAGCAAAGTACAGCATCATCCAACATCCACAAAACAGTGATACCAGCGCCCACATGACCAGAAGGAGGAAGGGCCTAACCTGCATCAATACCCTTCCAAACCATCTGAACTGAGGACTACAGACAGCTACAATATCTTGACCAAATGTAGAGGTATGAGAAACATCATCATTTTTTTCTCCTGTACCATTTTTAACACCTTCCCTGATGAAGAGGCCAGTGGAGCTTTGAAAGCTTGCAACATGTATAATGTGCACTTTGCTTGGCCCAATAACAGCATCACTCTTTTGTGGATTTTGGGCGATGCTTTACTACATTACTGACAGAAGTTACATGCAGGTTCCATTATGACCTGAAGATGTCACTCTTTTATGAATTAACAATGACCATTCTTCCTCATAAACTTGTTTTCCTCCACTGTTTTGTGTAGTGCACAAGGCAGGGTTCATGAATGGCTGCAAGAGTACAGTCAGCCCTCCATATCCATGGATTTTTTTACCCACAGATTCAAGCATCCACAGCTTGAAAATATTTTTAAAATATATAAATTCCAAAAAGTAAAGCTTGATTTTGCCATTTTATATGAGACGGCATTTTACTATTCCATTGTGTATAAAGGGACTTGAGCATCTATGGATTTTGGTATCCATGGGGGGTCCTGGAACCAAACCCCAGCGCAGCAGCGTCCCTAGAATTGGTGTTACCTGGTGCGGGAATTCATGGTGTCCCCCCCATTGACTTCCTCCCATTTCACACCATACAGAATCCTTAGTCATGCTTTTTTGCACTAAGGTTACTCGTAAATCGTAATTCCCATATACCACTGAATGTCATGCTAATAGCTGTGACATAAACAAGTAGCAAAATTAAAATTCTACTGTCAAATTGCAATATCATAGACACAAGCTGAATCTATTTATATATACATAGTGAAGATTTGGTTAAAATGTGATTTTTTAAAGAAAATATTAAAAGAGTATTTTGAAAAATAAAAATAAAATAAATTTAAAGTTTTTAAATTTGAATTTTAAAAAATTCTGAAACCTCTCCTTTCTTCTCCCACTGGGCTTCATCCCACTCCCACCATCTCTTAAAACATTTTAAAGGGAAGCAGCCCATTTCTAGCAAAAGGTAGGTGTTTGAGGAGCAGTGGGGCCACCCCCTTTTAGGGTGTCACCCAGTGCAGTTTGCACCCCCCTAGTGACTGTATTGCCCCAGTGGATACCAGGGGCCCACTTTATTTCCAGAAAGTCAATTTGTCCACCATTTTCAGTCTCCTCTGAAACTACTATAAGGGAATTTGGAGGTCTTTAAGCAGCGGCTGGATGGCCATCTGTCAGGGATGCTTTGATTGGGAGTTCCTGCATGGCAGGGGGTTGGACTGGATGGCCCTTGTGGTCTCTTCCAACTCTATGATTCTATGATTCTATGATTCTATGAATTTGGGGCATGCAGAAATAATCCCATTTGAGACCACTTTAAACCTAAACTTTAGATCTGAGAGGCTCTAAAGCAGCGGTAGGCAACCTTTTTGAGCCAGGGGCCGGGTTGCTGTCTCTCAGACAATTGGGGGGCTGAAGCACCAAAAATAGATAAATAAAAATTAAAATTAAAACATATTTTTTAAAAAAATATATATGCATGCACACTCTCTCAGCCCCAGAAAAGCCATGGCAAAACCCCTGTGGAGATTTTGCCAAGAAAACCCCAAGAACAAGTAATAACAACAATAATCAATACCATCATGGTGGGTGGCGGTGGCGGCAGGACCGGCCTGGGGCTGCTCCAAAGGCCCAGGGGGCCGCATCCGGCCCCCAGGCCTTAGGTTGCCTAACCCTGGCCTACACAATTCTCCTCCCTGCACTAGACAATGAGGATTCCACATGAACACTGGCTTCATATCAATAAGTCCACTTTCAAGGCAAGATGTACAACAACATGCATATAAATTCAGGGCTTGGATACATTCATGTTGGTATGAACTGAAACAGTGGGAAATGGCACAGGGTGGCCCTGTCATGGTCAGGAGAGATTGAAAATGTTCCCCTAACTTAAAATTTAAAATTTAAAATGCAGGCCTAAGACTAACATCTTCAATATTTTTCTCCTGTTTGCCTGATGAAGAAGCCAGTGTGACTTCAACAGCTTGCAACATGTAATTGTGCATTTTGGTTTACTCAATAAAGATATCATTTTTGTTCAGATGTTATTGGATTTGCTATATGGCCAACACAGCTACCCCTATATGCTTTCCTGAAGAGCATGCACCTTGCAGATACATACCTATCCAGTATCCTGATTTGACAGGGACAGTATCAGTTAATCCTCTGTCATCCTACTTTTTCAAGTGCTCTTAAAATGTCCCTGTTTCTCTGACTTTCCCCCTCTATTCTCAGCTTACTACTGTGGCCATTCATGTTGGTTAAAATTAAATCCTTTGTTTGTTAAACCATTCAGAATGGGTTTTAAAAAAAATAGATTTGAAAATCAATTTGTTAAATTGTTGAATTAAAAATAGAATTGACCAGTAACAAATTAAATTAAAAATAGGCAGCTTTACTTAAAAAAAACAAAGATCCAAAAAAACTACTGCAGAAATAATCCAGTTTGACACTGTTTTAACTCCCCTGGTTCAATGCTAGGGAATTCTGGGAACTGTAGTTTGGTGAGACATTTAGCCTTCTCTGTCAGAGAGCTCTGGTGCCACAGTAAACTACACTTCCCAGGATTCCATAGCACTGAGCCAGGGCAGTTAAAGCAGTGTCAAACTGGATTATTTCTGCAGTGTGTCTGGAACTATACTTGGCATTTAGACATTAAAGCAATGTTTAAATCACTGATGAAGTCATTAACAAATTCAAGTAATAATTTCATTTGAATGAGTTATTTCAGAGTTTAAAATTCTACAATGAATTTTAAAATGTATTGAGTGTACTCAGAAAAACTCTCATAAAAGATTTACTGCCAGGGAAGTAAGTACAGGAATGTAGTTTGAATGCATCATGTTTTGTTCCTATTGAAATCAGTTGAACAAGTTAGTAACTACGTATTAATTTAAATCTCATTAATTCTGATGGGATTAAACTATGACTAACATCTGGATTCAATCCATAGAACTAGGTAGAAATCAACAGGAAACTTAATTTTACCTGCAAGTTAAACATTGCAAGAACATGGAAACTAGCTCATGACTAGCTTAAGAGGAAGTTTCTATACAAACAATATTATGTCACAGAAAAGTGGAGACGTTTAAAAAATGTATCCAGTCATCAGATTTAACAATAAGATATATGCAGGGAGTTTAATATACAGTGACAAAACATAAATGGAATGTTAGATGGCTTGAAATTGATATATTGTTTGTTTATTGCTTATTGTTATTTATATCTTGTTTATGCATTGGTGTGCTTGTGTGTGCAAATAATGCATTTAAAAGGAATACAGAGGTATCTCACTTTATTATAGCCTCATCCCGTTCTGCTATGGCTAATTTCATGGCCTCGTCCCGGTTGCTCTCTTGGTACAGACGCCTCTGGTTCTTTATTTCAGACTTTAAGTGGCACAGTTCCACGTATTGCAATGTAATCTAGACACAGAAATGAGAAGAAGAAAAAGTGTTTCAAAGAACAAATCCTGCCATGCTACTTACTGTATTGCATTTTCTAGTGGGAAGAATAGCACACACACAAAACAAACCACACTAGACCATCACATAAATAAAACAAATATATAACAACTACGGTACCAACAAGCAATAAATATGGTATCTACAGCAAATATGAAATAGAGAAATGTAGAATAAATGTGATATTTATAGCAAATATGAACAAAAGAAAACTGAAACTAATCTATATAAAGAGTCAAATGGAATATCATACTGAACATACAATATGTAAAATAACAGACAACATAGCCAAAAGTCACATTATGTATAGGACAGGACAATAAATGAAATACATAACAATCTACAAATAAGCAAACATAAAGACTAATTCGACTTATACAAGTTGAGTATATTTTATTTGAAATGCTTGGGACTAGAAATATTTTGGATTCTGGATTTTTTTGGATTTTGGATGAGATATCTTGAAGATGGGACTAATGTCATGATCACAAAGTTTACTTATGTTTCATATACACCTTATACAGAAAGCCTGAAGGTGATTTTATACACAATATTTTTAGTAATTTTGTACATGAAACAAAGTTGTTTGTGGACATTGAATCATCAGAAAGCAAAAGTGTCACTGTCTCAGCCATCCATGTGGACAATTTTGGATTTCGGAGGACTTTGGATTTTGGATTTCTGGATAAGGGATACTCAACCTGTACAAGTAAACAAACTCCAGCTGCAGGATCAAGTGGTTGTTGTGAGAGTGATAAACAATGCAACAATAATAAAGAACTTATGCAAAAGTCCAGCAAACAATTACTAATGACTGACAAACTGTAAATCATATGCAACCAGATGTTCATTCCCTGCACTTGTACAACAGATTTGGGGTCTTCTTCAGAGGCAAAATGCACAAGATACCAACGATCCAGATAAATTAGTTATATATAAATGATATATAACAACTTACTGCATAAGTTCTTTCTAAACAAACCACCCTGTGCTGTAGCCAAGTTTCTCGATATGCAGGATCTGTTGACTATAATGTTGGACAGATTGAATAGCTCAGGAAAAGTCAGAAGCAATATGTTTAAAGAAAGATA